TTTGGGTGCACATGCACACATTCCCCATGTGTTTTTCAAGTGGCTAGAGCTGGGATTTAAACTGTGGTCATCTATGTGGGATCTGGTTCCCAATGCCTAGGGCTTAATGTCTGTGCTATTGGATGGGTCTGGATTTGCTTATTATTAATAAAATAAAAGGATCCTGTTACCTATTCCAGCATGTACAGTTAAAACAAATAGATACAGAAGTCAAAGGTAACTTCATGTTCCTCATAACAACATTGGAGAAAACTTTTTTTTTTTTTTTTTTGGAGAGGTTTTTGCTATAGGACGCATATGCTTGCCAGTAAGACAGAGAGAGACAGAGAGATAGAAAGCGAGAAATCTTCCCCCCCCCAAGGGGGGATTGCCATGCCGCAATCCCTTCTCCTCCATTCTCCTCTCAGGATCTTGGGCACTCACGCACACACACCCAGTGTGAGTTTAAGCCACTGGGTCCAGGACTCAAACCGCGGTTGACTACATGAGAGTCCAGTGACATAGCCATTACGCTAACTGCTAGTCCCAAGAAAGGAGTTTTGATGGTTGACTTTTGGTTGCTCTTCTGGTTTAGGTCTCACGTATTATGTCTTGGTCTTAAAATTGATCACTGTTTAGTAAATGATTTTTTTTTAAGTGAAAAAGAGGAAGAACAAAAGTATAAAAGGGAGAAGTTTGGGTAACATTTTCTTTTTGTGTAAAGCTCTTACCAGTTATTAATTTGTTTCTAGTATTTTGTTTTATTTCTCAAAGTGCTTTGAGCTATGTCATTTTAGAATTAGAAAAAAAATCTATATCTTACAGTCTGTTATGGCAGCCCCTAGTCTAGCAGATGTAAGATCCCACTTTTGTTTCCTTGGTAGGACTGGTGTGTGTGTGTGTGTGTGTGTGTGTGTGTGTGTATGTATGTGTGTGTAGCGCATGCATGTGTAGTTAAATATTGGGTTATTGGAAAAATCATGACACATTTTGCATAGAAAAACATAGAAAAATATGTCATGATTATTTTAATAACCTAATATATCAAGCAATATAGCTAGATGGTGGAACAGATATAACAAAATAAAAATTAGATAATATTGTTTCTGACATTTTCCCCTGGCATATCATCAGTAAAATGGACCTTGTATAAGATATAATCTATCCTTCTTAAAACAGGAATTTTCTGATAGTTCTTTAAACATTAAAATTAAAATTTTTTCTAAAACAGTATGCTATTAGGATATTTAGTATTCCTGCCAAAGTTCTCCATTTTAGCAAGCTAGTCCTTTTTATTTTTTAAAGAATTATTTTATTTAACTTTATTTATTTATTTTAATTTAACCAGAGAGAGACAGAGAGGGAGAAAGTGAGAAAGCAAGCCACCAGGTCCAGGACTCGAACCGTGGTCAGCCATGTGGGAGTCCGGTGTCCTTAACCACCACGCCACCTGCCTGCCCCAGGGAGCTAGTTTTTAACATTACAATTCCAATCTTATTGTTACTCCTTTGAGTACGAGAGGAAACAGATTCTCATGGTTATACTTTTCCTTCACTGAGTTTAATTTTTTAAATTTCTTTTCTCAAAAGATTCTGATTTTAAACTATTTGCTCACCTTCACTGACTTCCCTATTGATAACCAAAATTCTTTTCTTATGTACTTTTGACTTGATCCTCACTCATTATATTATACCAAAAATACTTTAGATACACAAATTTCAACTGTTTATTTCAAGCTACAGGTAGTTGAAAATCTCCTTGTGCTGATGATTTTTGTTATTAAGGCCTCTTGCTCTTTATTACAACATTCATCTTATTAACACGCTGACACAGTGAGAAATGTATGGTTACATTTTACATTCCACTGTATCACATTTCACTAACAACACCAGTGATCACATTACTGAATATTTATGGACAAGACCCAAACAGATTTAGGGTGATAGTGGGTAACAGCTGGTTACAAATGTCAGGCTATAAAGTTTACTCTTGAATCTCACTACATCATCAGAAAAAGGGGCATTCCAGAATGCACTTCACAACAAACTCAAAGTTAGCAAAATTTGTTCATCTTTTGTAGCTTACTGTATCCTTAAATTAACCATATACATTATTACAAATAGCATGTTATTAAAACAACTGATAATTTTTTTTTTTTTTTTTTGGAGAGGTTTTTGCTACAGGGTGCATGCGCTTGCCAGACAGAGAGAGACAGAGAGACAGAAAGCGAGAAGTCACCCCCCAGGGGGGATGGCCACGCCACAATCCCTCCTCCTCCATTCTCCTCTTGGGATCTTGGGCATGCATGCACACGTGCCTGGCCTGAGTTTTAAGCCACCGGGTCCAGGATGCAAACCGCGGTCGACTACGTGGGAGTCAAGTGACATAGCCATTATGCTAACTGCTGGTCCTAACAACTGATAATTTTTTAAACTAAAAAAATGCCAGCTAGACACAGCAATAGTATGTATTGTATGTCATTTATATAAAGTTGTAGAACAGGGACAACTAATTTATGATGATAAAAATTAGAACAGGAATTGCCTATCAAGGGATGGGATTATAAGGGACAAGAAGGAATTTTCTAGGGTGACAGAAATGTTTTCTTTCTTAATTGAGGTGTTGATTACAGACATTTATCAAAACTCATTTTGTATTACGCTTAAAATCTGTTTACTTGGGATATAACTTTCATAATGATAATAATAAATCCTGTGTATTTATTATACGATAACACAGAAAAGCACATAACATGAAATAAAAAGGACATAAATTGCACTATATGTAATGACAATAGCTACATGAAACAATGACGATAACAACTAACTTCCAATGCCTTTAAGACTGGGAAAAAATTATCCCCAAATTTTAACAGTGTTTATTAAATAATATTTAATGAGATAATAGACTCTTTTTACTTATCTACATATTCTACTTTAATGAATGTATAATTGTATTTTAACACAACTGTGTAAATCATACTTTTTTTTTAATGCTAGCAGGTTTGTGTGTTCACCAGAGAGAGGGAGAGAGAAGGCGAGAGAGAGAACCTCCCAATGGGCTTGGTCATGTTGCAGTCCTCTTTCTCCCATTTCTCTATCCTGTCAGGATTTGGGGCATGCACACACAGGTGGCCAACGTGCCTTTAAAGCTACAAGGGTCAGTATCCTACCCACTGCGGGCATTGTGGAACCTGGTTCCTATGCACAGATCTCATTTACTGTGTTACAGGGCCAGTCCCACGCGTTCTTTTTTAAATGATAAACGTTGTATGTTGTAGTCTTGTCAAAATGGTCAAACCTAAATCTAATCAGTCCTCTCCCTCTAGTTTCCAATTTGCAGGAGTAATGGGAGATTGAGGAACAAAAAATATAAAGGACCTGTGAGGAGGCAATCAGATAAATTTAGAATGGGCAAAACTGAATATAATAACTGACTTAGTTTCTTCAACAAATCAATAGTACACAACATTGGTGGGACTAGAGTGGAGGAAAGACACTTTAAATTAAAAAAGAATGAGGAGATATAACAAAATACAGTGTAGGTGGCTGGCAGGTGATGTCGCGGTTAAGGCAGTGGACTCCCACATGGCTGACTGTGGTTTGAGTCTCAGACCTGGTGGCTTTCTTTCTCTCTCTCTCTCTTCTCTCTCTGTCTCTGTCTCTCTCTGGTCAAATTGAATGCTAATAATAAATAAAATTAAATAAATGATTCTTGAAGAAAAAAATCTCTAAAAATAAAACATATAATCTGTAAAACTTTTTTTAAGTTTTGTTTTGAACAAACTAATTGTAAAAAGCTATTTTTTGAGGGCCAGTTAGTGGCATGGCAGTAACACAACACTCTGCAAGGCTGGAGCCACATGGGAAGGCCCAGGTTCATACCTCCAGGCCTCCCAATACATTCCAGCCATGCATACCTATGACTCAGGCTCCCCCAGACTGGGGTGGAAAGCAGTGTGAAGACCCTCCTGAGGGTTCTTTCTCCATCTCAGTCTCCCTCTCTCTCATGGAAGAAATAAACTTTTAAAAAATATATATTTTAAAAATAGAGAAACTTTGAATATGAGCCAAATATTTGATGTCTTTTAATAATTATTATCTGTTTAATTAGGTATGATTATGATGTTATCATATAAAAAACTACTATTTAGAGATAAATGCCAAAATAAGTAAAGAAAAAAATGTCAGGATATCTGAGATTTGCTTTAAAATACCTCAACAAGGGACTAGCAATGGTGTGGTGGTTGAAGTGCTAGACTCCAACATGGCTGACTGCAGTTCGAGTCTTGGACCTGGCAGCTTGCTTTCTCACTTTCCCTCTGTCTGTCTTTCTCTGTCATTCTCTGGTCACATTAAAAATTATAATAATAAATAAAACTAAATAATTCTTTTTAAAAAATTCAATAATAAAAATAGAGTAGATAAATTAAGTATGACAAATATTAGACTTGCTACACTGGTATGATAGGACTGTAGGATTTATTTCACAATTTTCTGTTTTTAGTGAAGTTTTAATATTTTCCTCCCATAATTAACGTTCTTTTTAAAAATCAAGAGCTGGCTCCAGTTAAGAGAATACGTTCCGACATGATAAACTGTAATTCAAATCCTGGCCCTGGTGGCTCAAAAAATACTCTGGATCCACGTGCGTGTGAATGCCCCAAATCCTGACAGAGTGGGGAGCTGGAGGAAAGGGGATTGCGGTGTGACCACATCCATTGGTCATGAAGGTGGAGAAGTGTAGAAGGGATTGCAGTGTGACCATCCCCCATTGGGAAGTGCTTTCTCCCTCTCCTCCCTTTGTGTCTCTCTCTTTACAAAGCATGCACCCTCTTGCAATTAAAAAAGAAAAAAATCAACAGCTGACTTGTTGCTAAGTGTGAGTAATCTAGTTGCTAAGGGTTCAGTAAAGCTTCCGTGATGTGTAGTTTTTATATTCCTAATTGTTTAAAGTTCTCTACAAAAATTACTGTTTCCACTGCAATTCACCCAATGTTGTATCTGCCCCAACTTATGGCCTATTTGTATATTCATGTATATAATACTTGATCCTTTTTTTTTTTTTTTT